CATACAATATAAAAGAGACGATCTTTGTGGACCTCTCTCAGGTGAGATCTTGTAGTGGCGAGCAGATGACAGCAAAGGAGTGCCACTCGCCGTGGTAGGAGAGGGAGACGACTGAAGGTGGGAAACAGGGAATTAAAGGAGGAGGAGTTCAGGGGTGAAGAGTTACCCTGTGGGCCTCATTATTTTCCTGCTGTTAATTTTTCTCACACATTTTCTCACCCCAGCGCTGTTGATTGGGAATGAAGAATGCATTGCCGGCTGAAACAAAAAGATCCCTTCTTTTGTCTTTGCTGCTGCAGTTAACTTAGCGAGGAGTAGAGTATAAAAGAGGAAAACAGACACAGAAGGACATAAAAACATACTCTTTTTTTTTTTTTAATTCTCCTCCCCAGCTAAGTGTGAGCGACTTATTTTGAGGGAGCTGAGAAATCCAGTTGTTTTACTTCCTGTCACTGATGACCTGATCCATGTTTAACCTTTGGCCTCTGGGTCCCTTCCCTTTGGATACCACATGTCCCACACAAGGACAAACAAAGACACACACATACACACACACACGCACACGCATTCACGCAAACAAGTCATCCTAAATTAAGCCCACTGAGTGCACTGGCTGGAGAGGTAACACTAATTAGAGCCAATTGCAGTAAATTAGTTGATCCCCATGTCGGGCTAGACAGAAAAAGATGTGTTGTCGATGTTTGCATGTAAATGAAAGCGTGTGTTTGTGAATTCAGGGTACACAAAGCCAGTAAATGTAGCATGTAAAATATGCATGTGATAGAATAATCAGCTACCTCGATGTGTATGCGCACCCACACCTGTACTTGTATCTTTTAGGAGCATTTGCCTGCCTATGTGTGTGCAGATCAAGAGAGTCTGCTCTCTGTTTGCAGTCCATGAGTTTATGACACAGGGGCCTCTTTCATGTGCCCGAGGCTGGGAGAGGGTATGAGTGGTCGGGCGGCTTGGAGCCAGGGTTCACACACTGCTGCCCACTGTCCGGAGCTCCGGGCAGCCAGTCAACACCAGGGAGGCCTAGCCCTTCTGCCACCGCTCTCGGGAAGTGTTTCGGAGCCCGGGGGTGGCAGTCCAAAGTGGCCGCCCAGAGAGAGCCAGGCGTCGTGCCCAGTGTGATCCTGCCACTGTGAGGAGTGCAGGAGGGGAAGGAAAAGGAGGCAGCGCCGCTCTGTAGGTGGCAAGGTAGCGTTGACAGCTCCACAGAGTGGTGCCACTCCAAAGACGGTAGCGTTATGGAGTGTGTAAGAATCCAGGATAAATTTCAAAATAAGGCATGAAGCACCTTTTTGCAGCTTCTTTTAAACTGAAACCTCATATTTTTTCTCTCTCATAACTGAAGTTGTATTTTTTTTCTATTGCAGGCGAAATAAGTTTTGATATGTTTGAAGGGATTGCTAGAGATTTTTTTTAAATGATGCTCTGTTAAAAAGTTAGAGTTAATATCTTAACTGGGCCAAATAACTCTTGTGTTATTGTCATTTAAGGTAAATCCACATTAGTTGGTTCAGTGTCATTGCAACCTGTAAATTTGTGTCGAATGATTATTTTGCTAACAGATCATTTATTTTCAGTAGTGTTAGCATCCATCGCTGTGATACAATGATACCCATTGCAGTGAGACATAGACGTTAAGCTGAGGAGGTTGTTGATTTTTTTGGGATCTCATCAGAGTCACTAGGTAAAAGTAATGCATTGTTAAATGTTTTACATTTAATCACAATTATGTTTTTCATAATTAGAGTTCTTTTAAGTAGGTGAATGTCCACTTTGGTCTTGGCCACTCTTGGATTAGCCATTAGCTTCAGTCAATGGGACCAACTTCTCTGGACTTATACTAAATGAAGGGTCATCTCCTGAATGTTACATATTTTGGCTTGTAACCTTTTAACAGAATCTCACTTCACAATTCTGAACTATCCTTTTAAGTTGGCAGTAAATGTTTTAGGCCTACAAACCTGAAATATGTTATGAATGTGAGGAAGAGAGGAGTCATCTGGTGTTTATTTGGCTTAGACTTGGGACATTTCCTCAAAAAGGAAGTGAAAATATGCAAAAGCAAAGCTTCTGTTTTTTTTGTTTTTTGTTTTTTTTCATAAAGGAAGAAAATTTTAGTTTCTGTGTCTGCCTCAGTCTTGTGATGTCCTCCTCCCCTAAACAAAATGACATCACCTATTGAAGCTCCAGGTTCAACAAGAAACTGGTGCTTTCCACATAACTCGGTGAAGTCACGCCAGGAGGAGTTATTATTTCCATAAAAAAAAGCAGCCATTAATGATTATTATCGCTTTAAAGATCAAAACAAGAAAAATGCAGCGATTTATTGATTTTCCTTTCCGTGAACCCTTTTCTCTCTGCTCAGTTTCCTTCTCCTTCCTCCTCTCCCTGTAAATAAAGCCAAGATATCTGAGGCATCGATTCCCCTCAGGTGTCCTTCCTGTCTCCCTCTTTCCCTCCTTATCCTCGGGAGTCAGAGAGGTTGGTGCAGCTTGCAGGCATAGGCTAAGGAGGAGGTGAGGGAGAGGGCCTGCGATAACACTGAGGGAGAGTGGGTGCTGCAACACGATAGTTATAGTCCTCATGTAACATTCCTGTGACCTCCTCCCTGCTCTTGCTCTGTCTCTTGGTCCGCCTGCCTGTCTCTTTCAGTAACAGAAAACTGGCAATAAGAACAAATGCTTTTACATGTCTTTTTTCTTTCAGCCAAACTTTATTTAACTAGATTTTTTTTGTTTTCTCTTAAAGGGACAGTTTTATTTATTCATCAAAACAAAATCTTGTAACATTTTTTATCAGTAATGTGATGGACGAGAAAACGAAATGGTCTGATTTGTTTCTGCCACCAGTTTATTAAGTTACAATACATCAAAAATGCTTAAATATGCTAATAGTTGCTACCACAAAACAGCCATTATGGATACTTAACTTCTCCCAGTCAGAATTACAATCTCTGGGGTGTTCTGGCTGTTTTTCCAACTGGGAACACCGCAAATAAAACACTCCATACATCCTGAGAAGGCTGACAGCTAGTCAGACAAGTTTGAGCTTATTTTATCAATTTTAAACTGCTAAGATGAAAAGGATCTGTATTAGTAACAGCATATTAACTGACTTTATTTTCACAAAAGACCATTGTTAGTTTTTTTGCTGTTTTCTAAGCTGAACAAAATCTGTGTTGCAATGCTAAACTTCCAATGTGTGCAGCTGCAGACTATCACTGTCTGCCTGATAAACTGCCTCTGAGTCATTCAGCATAATTTGCAAATTTTAATATTTACTCCACTCTTGACAAACTTGGAGCAGAGATTCAACTTCAACTTGCAGGTGTATTGACATGGACATTTCTTAGCTTAAACTATAATGACAATATTAGCATTGGTCTCTTGTGAAATAATATAAAGTGAGAAGCCACTAGTACTGAGTTTTACCCCACAGATATAAATAGTCTCAATGTGAGGTGTTTTAGAATGCTACAGGAAGCTAAACTGATGACTAATTGTGAGATAGAGTTCTGGCACGCTCATTTCAAAATAACATCTTTTTTTAGGTAAGGGAACTAATTCTGATGAAAACTTAAAACAATCCAAACTACCCCCTAAGATATTCTTGACTGACCCTAAAGTATGTCCTCAAGATCACTGCGAGATAAATTCTGGCCTGAAACAACATGGGAGCATGCTTGTATAAACCCAAACATAAAGATGCCCCAACAGCGCAACAGCGACAGAAACGGGTCTGTGTATGTGTTTGACCTGTGATCCAGAGGCCACCTTAGCAGCGTATGGATCCAATTGGAGCTGCCAGGAAGCTGACAAAGTGTCAGTGGTCAGCCATGCCACAGGAAGTGATCGATTGTGGGCCTCAAGGGCAGAGAGAGAGCTCTGTCTCTGTCTATTTCCTGCCACAGACGATAGTGTCTACTTCTAACTCTCTGTCCACTATTAGCTCATTTTATACATCTCTCTCAAGTGATGCCAGCTGTTGTTGCAAAGTGTTTTCTACGTCAATATGTCCTCTATTAGCACTGTTGTTTAGCTTAAACTGTTTGATATTAAATGCTCTACATCTTGGTACTGATTCTATTCCAAACAAAAATAGAGCTACATCATTTGTTTTCCAGCGTGTCATTTTAACTATTCCATTTCTGTTTGGTTGTTTATTTATGTTTTACTCCAGCCATACAGTCATGAGCTGCTACCCTGTTCCCAGTAATAGAAGTAAGTTGAACCTCCTCCTCTAAGACGTTTTATGAAAAGATTGCTCTGTATCTATCTGTCAATTGCCCTATCACCTCAGAACACCTACCTATTTCCTGCTTAAGCATCCCCACAGATTTATGCTGCCATGGACGTGTCTTTAGAGAAGACTGTATGTTCTGCTTGATGTCAAATATTAATTTTTCTGCCACACGTAGCTTTTGTATGCAAACTAAAAAAACAAATAATTAAAAGTTACTTTTTTTTCAAATGTTTTCCGCAAATAATGCTGCAATGCTTTTACTCTTAATTCCAATTGTTTTGAAATTTCACATTCTGCATTACATTTTCTTCTTGTCGAACTTCCTTGACCAGTCTCGGCTGTGTCTTGGTCTTAATTATATTATGTGTTCACTAATGTTTGAACGCTTTTCGCAAAATAACAAAACAATCAGTTGATAAAATCGCTTCCTTTACCTTCACAATTACGTTCTAGTTTGAGGTGGTCTAGCACATAAATTCCTCACAAAATAAAGTTTTTGGTTTGCGATGTAAGAAAAGGTAAAAGTTTAAGGTATATGGATACTTCTGAAAGACATTAAATAAGTAGATTTCCTGCATGCACCTTTCCTTTCCCCAGTTCACATATTGCCCAGACTCCCAGAAGACCTTCATTGTTGAGGGCTATTGGGGGTGTAGGGTGTTTCTCCTTTCTTCCTCCCTCCTCCAGCCTTTTCTCTCCCCCATTCTCGTACTCATCCATCCTCCCGCCCCCTCGGGACTTACCTGTCTGTTGCGTTCATCCATAATTCGCGTGATCTGAATCTTTTTCCTCCCCATCGTCCCCGTCTCTTTCTTTTTCTTCTCTTTCTGAATAACTCAAAGCTTTCTTCTTTCTTTCTCTCACTCTCTGTCTCTCCTCTTTTCTTCTTTTCGCTCTTCTTTCTCTTCACTCTTGCACTCCTGCTATCTCTTATCTAGCTTTTTTCTTCTTTCTATTTGTTCCAATCACCTCAAAGATTCCAGCATCTGTACCTGCAAGACAGAGAGGGAGGGGTAAGCAGAGAATAAGCATTAAATGAAATGAAATATGGCAAAACAGTGAGAGGGGAAAAAATATATAAAAGTAGCATCACGGCAGCCACAAGGGAGGGTGAAGAAAGACAAAGAATCTGTCAACAATGTTGTGAGAAATGCTGTGTTTTTCTGTCGATATCATGCAAATCAGTTTTTGCTTCTTTTTTTTTTTTCACCGAGGCACCCACTACGAGAGAAGACAGCGCTGTCAGGATCTTGCCTCGTTCTTTGACAGTGTTTTGGATGTGCCACTAACTTAACTGCTCTAATCACCAACACTGTTACATTACCTCGGCTCTGAGAAACACATTTTATGTCTCCCCCTTGAAACGGCACTGTATATAGACAGTGGAACTTGCCAGCCATGTACTTTTACTACTCTATCTGCGGTCCATATCACATCTGCCAGAGCGGCAGATGTGAGCTAGAGGATAAGAGGCAGATGTAAAAGTGGAGCCCGGGTCTTGCCACGTTCTGGAAAACAAAGCCACAAGGAGAACAAGAAAAAAAATGCTATGTTTCTCTGAAAGTCGCACTAGGATCCAGCGCAACTCCTGCTTGCACTTAATCCAGCTGGAGAAACTGCAAGTCAGTGACACCACCTGATTAATAGTAAAAAACTGTACTTTTGTGTGAACAGCTGAGGGTGTAGAAACCCTCACTCAGGTGGAGCGCTGCAGCTTTATGTGAAGGACTGCACCCACGAGGAAAAGAGAACCGCGCTCCAAAAAACTTTGAACGGCTGTCCGTGTGCATGTGTGTGTGTGTGTGCGGGCGTGCGTTTGCGTGTGTGTGTGCGTGTACATGGGTGTGTGCACTCTTGTATGAGCCTGGCTAAGCCCGAGCTCCAGAGCATCTCTCTGGAGTGCTAAAGTAGGCCAACCCAATCTATCTCGGGGAGGAGCAGAAGAACTGTTGTTGTGTTTTCTTTTGACAGTAGAGGTGATAACGTCCCTCGTTATGCAAATGAGCATCCCATTATTTAAGCTCAGTGCAATGCAGGGGAGCTGTCAGCGCCGTCACATAAGAAAAAAAAAAATCTTCCATCTACCCTGCCTTTTTTTTCTCTACTTTCCCCTTCTTCTCTCTTCTCTCCTTTCTGAACCACATTTCCGGCACCTGGCAGCACAAGCATCAGACATTGATGTGGAAGACGACACCACTTCACCAAAAGACATGTCAGTCTCAGTCTCTCTCTCGATCACTCTCTGTCTCTCTTTTCTCAAACACCCTTGCTCTTTTTCCTCACTCTCTCATATTCTCTCCTTTTGCATACTCCCATACATATATTCGAACATTGTAATGCGCTCTTCTTCCTTCCTTTTTTTTTTTTTTTTTTACTCTCCCCTAACCCGAATCCATGTATTTATTGAGTAACATGCCCAAGGGAGTACAAGGAAGATCCAAACCCTTTAGCTGTACTGCAGGACACTGCTATGCACTTGACCTTTTTGTGCTTGCGAGTAGGACATTGATAATGAAAGCTTGTAATGGAGACAGCGAGGGATACTTTGGCTCATTGTGGCAACAGCACACAACTTTGTTCCAGGTGCAACAGAAAATGAAAGGACACTAAAAAAACTCTAATAAACTAATATTTGCCATTTTGCATTTTTAAAGTTATTTTTTATAAATATTTATGTATTATAAAATAATCTTTATGTAACCGTGAATGTCTTTGATAGGAAAAGAGACAAGACAATCAACTATTCTCAAATGTGTCTGTTATGTTTATATTTTTATACAATTTGGCACATCAAAAAATATTTATATACTTCTCAGTAATCAGAGGAAAAGCAATCAAACATTTCTCATGTTTGCTGATCAGCTCTTTGAATGTTTCCAATGAGATTTAACTTTTCATCTTTGGTGATACGATTCAGGTCCTTAAGACTGAAAACCTTCCTTATATATATTTAACTATTTTAACTAAACCAAGTCAAAATATACATATGTATGCTTAAAACAGAAAAGCAATTATTTGTCTTCTTTTTTTAAATAAGTCATATCATTGCAATCGTTTTTGCTTCCAAAGAAACACTATCACCATAATTTTTCTATATTTTACAGATCAGTCAACCAACAACTGACATTACATGAAAAACTAATACAATGTGGGACAATGGAGTCTAAAGAATAAAGAAATGATAGACAAAAAAAAGAAAAAAAAACTTTTAGAGATTTGGAATACACCCACCCATGAAAGTATTGAAATGCTGCGTTCGTCAGCTAACACAACGATCAAACTGAACCATTATAACAATAAAACTAAGATCCTAAATAATACTGTGGCAGCTCTAAAGAGGCTATCCAAAACATCTTAGCATTGCTCTACGCAAACACACCCATCCATAGACAGGAAAACAAAGAGCTGCCCTCTGGTACTCAACAAAAAAGGATGTTGTCAGACAAACTAGGATTACAAGCCAGCACTAAGGCGCTTGGCACAAGACAGCCAGACAAGGATATCAATCAAGCCGGAGTACCTCAATCACAGGCTGACAGCATCATCCCCTCCCAAGTCTTTGTACTCAACATTACCCAGCCTGGGCATCACTCCAAACAAGGGAGGCATTACCTCCGTGATCCCTGCCTCCTGGCCTCCACCTCCTCCCTCTAGTTCCTCGTGCAGCTCGCTAAGCAGAGCTGAAACTCTCAATGTCAACACCCGCTGGGGCAACACCTTAGGCCTTACGTAACGTTAACACTAAGATTAAGCCTGTGTCCTGAACATTTAATCCCCGATTCTGGCTCTCAGCACCAACTAGCACTCCCCTGAGGTGAGGTTCTGCTGCCACTTAGCCCCGTATTGATGCCTCCTCGGCTCAGCCAGCTTCCCCTATGCCTTTTCATCTGTGCTTCGTCTACCTCCTCCTACACAACAGGGCAACTTGCCTCCCCCTAACCCCACCGCCCCATCTCTCTTGCCACCAAACCCCCCACTTTTCCTCACACCCGCCCCCATCCCATATGAGAGCCAGACAGCTTCTGGTTAAGAAGTGAGTGCCCACCTCCTCATCGGGCTCCTTTCCCTTTTTCTTCCCTTGTGGTGGATGGAGCATCATTTAACTTAACAGATTACCACTGACTCACTAAATCCAATTTAGCCTCATAACGCCAAGATAAAAAAAAAACTAAAGGGAATTGCAGCAAACAAGCAGTTTTTTTTTAACTTGCTCAAGAGGCACAACACAGCCAGATTGCTTTTACAGGCCCCTGACACTGATACCTGACCAAAAGTGGGGCAATAACAAATGAAATACAAACCTAAACGGTCTAACACTTTAAGCCAATTTACTAATCCCAAAGTAGAGAAAAAGGGAAAACGAAGAAGACAAAAGAGACCATGTACTATGTAGAGTCTACATAATTAAACATACTTACAGCCAGAATTTAGATGTCTTATTGTCGCCACTGTAGCCTCTTTCACAAAACAGTTCTTTCATGAACCCATAAACATAAGCCCTGCTTTGAGCAGGTCCTATATGACAAATCACAGCTGATTTGTCACATAGGACATGCACATTTTCACATGTCAGATAAAATCAACCTGACATTCCAAGACCAAAGAGGAACAAAGTTTAACTCAACAAGGTCAAACATCTCCCATTGTTCTCAGAAAACAAATGGGTGACGTCTCCCACCAGCACTGAAGAAACTTCTATTGGGTTAAGTCAACGGATCTGTTTTGTTTTAGTGCACCTCAATGCACCCCACAGAATTTGTTAATGTCTAGAAATTATTTGCATGATTCACCCATCTGCTCTGGCGCTAATGTATGTTCACGTTAACTATTCTGGTCAGGCTATAGCTATGTCACCGTTTGGAGGATGGAAGCAGGTTCACCACTAAAGCGGTCAGCTATAGTGGTGGTGATTACCTGGCTTGATGTCTGAAACATTATATTCAGAAAAAACACCAAAGGGACAAAATAGGTATTTAAATCCTTCCAAAATCATAAAATAATCGCAAACCAAAGTGGAATGTTGCATTACACCAATCATTTTTTTTTCCATTAACACACAGATAAATAGACTTCTGTAGCAGTTTCACTTAAAAATAGAATAAAACTGAGATGTTATCACAAGCCACTCTTTACAATGAGAGATGTTGACACAATTTATGTGCACTGCTCTATATCAATCCTGCTGACATCCACTTCAGTCCTGGGTTACGGTCAGAGTTGTTGGTTTGATTTTTACAAACTCACTTGTTTGCAAGATGTCAGCGATTTGATTAGTGATTTATGAATGCCCAAAGGCAGCAAGGCAGAGGGAGGTCCGGAGGCTTCCAACTAATGGTATTCCTCTATTAACACAAGCCAGAAGTAGACAATTGGAGGGAGGCTGGGGTAGGCAGTTGCTGAGGTCAGAGAGCACAGTGGCATCAAGCAGACAGAAGGACAACAGTTGCTCCTCTGCTTGTTTAACATCCTTGTTCTTTGAGTTGGAGGGGTGACGATGAAAAGCTGGAAGAGTGGTGAGAGGAAAACATAGAAATTGAGTGAAGAAAGGAAAATGGAGAGAAGCATAAAGAAGGATCTTTTGAACAGGCACCATGCCTCTCCAGGGGGAGGGGAAGAGCTGTGCCCACGACCCTCCCATCTGTTAAGCAGACGGATGGAGAGATAGAGAGAGAGATGACTGGGGGAGGAAAGGAGAGATAGAGAGAGAGTGAGAGCGGAGATTCAGCACGTAGATCTAATGAGCATTTTCTCTCTGTGTCTCAGAAGTGAAGCTGAGAGGACAATGAGAACATACATACTCAGAGCACCACAAGGCTTGATTCTAGGTCGCCTCTCTCCCAAGTGTTTAGTCACTAAAAACTAATATACAGCACATGGCGCTTTTTCACGATCTAATAGATGTGTGTAGACTGGTTTTTAATGTGGCTCCGTCATTAAGGACGTACAGTAAGAACAACTCCTTTAAATTCTATGGACAGAGAGAAAAGAAAGA